ATAAACCAATTGTGTTCGGTTTGGTTTTTCTCTGGTTTATATCGGTTTTTTTCGGTTATTCTATAAAGAAAACAAGTCTAGAAAAGTAGAAAGTAGAAATATCTCATATTACATAACCATTTCCGAAAAGAAAAGAAAAGAAAAAAAAAAGAAAAAGGGCAGCCCACAATGCCACATAACAGTTTTCGAAAAGAAAAAAAAAGCGATGAAAAACTAGAATAGCAGAAACATGTAGATGATAGATCAGCACTTCAAGTTCAGCAACAAGCTCCTCCATGACCAACATTTGGGGAAAGGAAAAGCTACAGTACCACGTAACAGAAGGGATTTCTTCGCCGGTGACAAAAGAACCCAAGATTTGGGGTCGATGGACTGGAGAACCCTAGATTTGAGGGCGATGGACGAGAGGGGACGAGACGGAGCGCGAAGGACCAAAAGCTCGTCGAGAGGGGACGAGACGGAGCGCGAAGGACCAAAAGCTCGTTGGGTTTGGGACTTTGGGGGCGATGGACAAGAACTCAGATTCTCAGAAGCCCTAGAAATATAATTAAAGTCTAATGTAGACTATGTAGTAATGTTTGAACACAGGCTAAGACCATTCTTTTTTTGGGCTTCATTTAAGCCCAAGTTTGAAGTTTCTACATAAAATTTTATGTATATTAATAATATATATCTATAAATAATATAATTTCCTTACAATATATATAATCGGTTTTTCGGTTCGGTTTCGGTTTCCAGACATCTGAAACCAAAACCACACCAAACCTTTCGGTTTTCGGTTATTTTTTTACGGTTTGGTGCGGTTTTTTTCTTTCCTCGGTTTTTTCGGTTATGGTTCGGCTTTGGTGTGGTTATTTTTTCGGTTATCGGTTTTTAAGTTACAGCCCTAGAGTAGACACCTTCCAAGTGGTATTGTACCAGAATTCTGCAATAGATAGCCACTGACACCACTCTTTAGGCTTGTGGCAACAAAAACACCTTAGAGAGGCCTCTTGATTTTTATTTGTTATCTCGGTTTGCCCATCAGTTTGAGGGTGATAGGAAGAACTAAACTAAAGTTGACTTCCCTGCAACTTGAACAACTCTCTCCAAAATGAACTTGTAAACAAGGGATCTCTGTCACTTACGATAGACTTAGGCATACCATGAAGCTTGAATACCCATTTTAAAAAATATTGAGCCACCGACTGAGCAGTATATGGGTGTGAGAGTGCAAAAAAAGTGAGCATATTTTGTCAATCTATCAACCACCACAAGAATGACAGATTTGTTTCTACTCTTAGGCAGGCTAGTAATAAAATCCATTTACAAATCTTCCCAAATATAATCTGGAATAGGCAGTGGTTTTAAGAGCCCAGATGATGCAACATTCTCTCCTTTAGCTCATTGGCAACCATCACAGGCTTGAACATACATTTAAACTTCTCTCTTCATTCCCTTCTAATAAAAAGCTCTCCTTAGTCTGTGTAGTGTCCTTGTAATTCCAGAATGCCCCGCAGAAGGGCTATCATGGTGTTCCATGAGTAGAGAAGTTTTGAGGTGTTGGGCATTAGGACTGATAAAAATTTTGTCTTTGTAATAGTACACCCCTTCCTTCTTGTAATAGTCTTCAGCTGGTAATCGTCATGTTTGGAACTTGTCATCCAACTCTTTGAATAATATATCTGTGGAACACATGAGCTTAACTCCTTCCAACCAATCATTGTGGATAGTAGAAATAGCTGGAACTTCAAGGGGCTCTTTTGAAACTGCTTCTTCACCTTCATAGATCCTGGATAACCCATGAGCAGTCATATTTAATCTTTCAGGTTTATACTCCACGGTGTAGTCAAATCCATGCAGCTTGGCAAGCCACTTATTCTGAATGCATGTGTGTATTCTTTGCTCGAGTAAGTATCTGAGACTTTGATGATCAGTTCTAATTACAAAACTCCTTCCAAGTAAATATTGCTACCATTTTTTTGTAGATAGGATAATGGTCAGGAGCTCCTTTTTATAGGTTGAAAGAGTGACATTTATTCCCTTTAAAGCAAAACTGAAGTATGCTATACGCCTCTCTGATTGCATCAATACAGCCCCAATTCCAAACTCCGAGGCATCACATTCAATGACAAAAGTCATACTGAAATCAGACATTGCCAGAACTGGAGGATGAGTTAGTGCATGTTTTAGAGATTTGAAAGCATCTTCAGCACTTGTTGTCCAATTAAAAGCTCATTTTTTCAAAAAATTTGTTAGAGGCTAAGCTATCATCCTAAAACTCTTAATAAATTTTCTGTAGTAGCCTGCTAGTCCTAGAAAACCTCTTAGTCCCTTCAAAGTTTTAGGTGCAAACCACTCAACAATGGCATTAATTTTTTGAGGATCCGCACCAACTCCATCCTGTGATACGATATGCCCCAAATACTTCACTTGTGTTTTTCCAAAGCTACATTTTGACATTTTTGCCACCAGTTTGTGAGCCTTCATGATATCAAACACTTGCCTCAGACGAATCAGGTGATCCTATCACTTCTTGCTATATATCAAGATGTCATCAAAGAAGACTAAGATAGATTTCCATAGTAATTGTTTGAATATGTTGTTCATAAGAACCTGAAAAGTTGAGGGAGCATTTGTCAAACCAAAAGGCATTACCAAAAATTCAAAATGCCCATGATGTGTTCTGAAGGTAGTCTTTGATATATTTGGTTCATACATTCTAATCTGGTGATAACCACATTTCAAGTCAAGCTTGGTGAAAAATTTAGTCCCATGGAGTTCATGCAGTAGCTCGTCTATAACAGGAATAGGAAATTTATCCTTGATTGTAGACTTATTTAAAGACATGTAGTCTATGCACATCCTTCAGCCACCATCAGATTTCTTCACCATGACCACTGGTGAAGAAAATGGACTATGACTTGGTTTGATGACACCTTTTTTAAGCATTTCATCAATCTGTTTTTCAATTTCCTCTTTCAAAAAATGTGCATGTCTATATGGTCTGATACAGATAGGTTTAGTCCCTTCCTCTAAAGGAATATTATGATCTATCTTCCTGTTAGGAGGGATATGAGGGAGTTCCTGGAAATTTATTTCATACTCTTGTATCAGTTGGTGCATATCTTTAGGTAACTCCTTTGAGTTTGGCTTTGTTGATGATTCTTGTAAGTTCACACTACACAATTGAATCAAATAACCTTATTATTGCTCCCTGGATTTTTTAGCAATGGTTTTTTCATTAACCAATTGCATTTCAACTGAAATGACTCATTGTTTTTAATTCCCTCACTTACAAAGGTGACCTGCAATTTCCTGAAGTTCAATGTAACGTCTTCTAAGGTAACCTGCCAATCCCTTACACTTTATAAGTCAAACTGACTTCACAAAATTAACAATCCCGTGGAACTCAAATGAGGAGAAATCTCTACAGGATTTAGAATCTCGTAGAGATTAATTCTCATTTAATATCCATATGATTACCAATCTCTTAGATTTCTTAAGTAATTTTTGTCAAAATTGACATAGTTTCAACACATATCGCTGAAAATAGATCGATTTTAATGTATATTTTCTCGACTAGGTCGATTTTAGTGAATGTTCTTATGAAAGAGTCTTATTTCAAAAAATTATCCTATTATTTATCCTTTACTTAGGGTGGTAATATTTCTTAATTTGGAACTTTCCGTCCAATATTTTGTGGAAACGATGACCAAGTAAAAGGGGGGCAAAAATCTTCACATTTTATATTTTTAACATAAAAATAATCTGAACTATAAAATATTGCGAGTTACCCACGGGAGTTTTAACACGACAGATAATATTTTCAAAACGAAAAGATTAGCCCCTGATCCGCGTGTCCCCTCTGAACAAAGTCTCATCCGTTCATTGGGCACAAATCCAACGGACCAAAACCATTTCCAGCCCTCTCCGCCCAAAGCCCAACGATCCGCGTCCTTCACCCCAATAAAATCTAGTCCGTCCATTACGAACGGATCCAACGGACCAAACTCCACTCCAGCCCTCTCCGCCCAAATTCTCCCCAGCCTCCCCCCACCCTCCCCATCATAACCCCCACACAAACTACCCGCAGAGTCATCAAGCAGAAATCCCAAACGCAAAACCTAGAACAAGACAAAAACCCTAGAAATGGCGAGAACCAAGCAAACAGCGCCGCAAAATCCACCGGCGGCAAGGCTCCCCCGCAAGCAACTCGCCACCAAGGCGGCCCGCAAGTCGGCGCCGGCGCACCGCGGCGTGAAGAAGCCCACCGGTTTCGGCGGCCGGACCGTCGCTCTCAGTGAGATCCGAAAGTACCAGAAAAGCACCGAGCTTTTGATCCGAAAGCTGCGTTTCAGAGGCTGGTGAGGGAGATCGCCCAGGATTTCAAGAACCGATCTCAGGTTCCAGTCGTCGGCGGTGGCGGCTGCTGCAGGAGGCCGCGGGAGGCCTACCTGGTGGTTGGGTTGTTTGAGGACACGAAATCTGTGCGCGATCCACGCTAAGGGTGACGATCATGCCAAAGGATATTCAGCTTGCGAGGAGGATCAGAGGGGAGAGGGCTTGAGGGTTGGGTGTTTTGTTGATGATTTGTTCCCTGTGGGTACGGTGAATGAAATTTGACGTCTTTCTTTTTGGGAAACCTTTAATTGTTAAGATATCTTTGTCGTTTCTTTGATGGTTAGAATGCCTAATATCTCTAATCTGAGTTGGTCTTTTCGCAAATGGAACCATGAAGTTTCTATACTTTGGATTGATTTGAAACAACGTAGTCTTGTTTTGTGACATTAGGTCATGTTGAATTTCGTGTTCATGGTGGTTTGTAATCTTTGCGAAGGCAGGGGCCTTGGTTTATTGCGTTTTAAGTGGAAATTTGTATAATAATGAATAGCGTTCTCGTCTTGTTTTTGTTATTTTGATTGAGAAGTCATCCGACCCTTTTTATGAACTTAGAAAGTAACAATATTTTGGAATTTTAGGTTGAGAAGAGCAGGAATATATTTACTGATCTTTTTTCGTCATTTATACCAAAGCTATGATTTTGTCATTGGACTTGACAAATTACTGGTATTTACCCCCCCTTTTCATGGTTGTAGGTAAGGCTGATCATTATCAAAGTAGGAAACAAATTCTTTATTTGCTGAAACTGGTAACAAATTCTATTTCTGCATGCCTGTTCCTTTCCATTTATTGCCAATTTTTAGGATCAATATATTCTTTACATGAATTTTTCAGGATTAATATATTTTAGAGTAGCACTGTGGAATTCTTCGTCTTGGATTGGAATGTCGCTTGGATACTAGACTAGGTAACACCAAAACAGAAGTCTTTTCCAAGTTTAAAATATTTGTTATGGTAATGTATACAAACAGGTGAGGAAGTTATTCCTTTCCTAGCACGAGATCTACCATTCAAGTAGCAGAACAATATGGTGACATCCCCAGTTAGATCATTTCTATATTTCTGTCATGTAGAATTCTCAAATTAAGAGGAAGTAGAATAAAGCAGGGAGACACTAGCACATTGCATCAATAGATTCCTCGAGTCTGATCCCTTTGAGAAGTAGGCTCTCCTTAGCAAATCCTTTGAAGGAACAGGGATGTGGAAGGAAATTTAAAGAAAGCATGTTAAACAAATGTTGAAAGGATATAGCGGCTGTACATTGCATCAATTTGGAGCAATTATAAAGAATAGTCTTAGGGCTCTTGTCCTTGCAATAGCATAAAGCTAGAACCTAGATAAAAAAAATAATCAGTTTATTGTGTTTAAAAGATTATTCAGTGAATCTAATCCCAACCAATTCTCAACTACTTCAGGCCACTTACATTTGATGCACCTTCTCCTTTCATGAATCATGAACTCCAGCAGCCATAACTGCATGCGTTTCTTGCCAGTCTAGCTCATGACAAACGGCTCCTTCACTGACCTCTATCAAGAGCTTCCCTCACTTTCTGTCTATATAATCAACGCCGTATCTCTCCAAGTTCTCATCAACATTAGGCTATTTGGCATAAGAACCAATGAAGCCAAATGCAGTGAGCATGTGCATGATGTTGTTAGCATGTACTATAGGAACAGGCTTATTGGGCCGTCCCGTCCTGTCCCTTGATTCGTGCTTGCCAAAGTTCTACTTGATCATGATGCAGTTTACCCCGTGCAGTCCGGCAGTGGTGCCGATTAGCCCGTCACCCCCTAGCAAGGCCTGTTGCGATGCGATCAGGACTATTGGCCAGACTTGCTTCTGTTCTTTCCTAAATGGGCCCCCATTGACTGGCGTGGACCGCAATTCTTCTTTGCAGCTTCCTAGCAAGTGCTTTCTCAATTACGAGCCTTGCATGTAATCTCGCTATCCATGTATCCATTGTTCTTATGGAAACAATAACATTGTTAACAAACCTGCTGATCAAGTTCCATTGTTAGGTAATGTCAGGGGCTGATATGATTATCCTGTGTAGGCTGTCTATTTTTGATTTTTGAGATTCGATAGAACTTTTGAGGGATTTGAGTAGTATTCAGGTTTGATCAGCTAAAAACAAAAATCGGAGCTCGGTTTAGGTAAATCTATCTCTTGGTCTTTTTAAGATACCACATATAATATATTGATGGCTAAGACTTGAAAAATTGGACTCAGTTTCGGTGTTGAATTTTATCCAACCAGGCACTAGGTCGGTGATTATATACGTAAGAATGACAATTCTATGGCGATAAGCACAGAGGATTTTTTTTCATTTGTTTTTTTATTTTGGACCTATGAGATTTACACAACTAGACAATGTGAATACCATTCTATAGAAATTCTCCTCAAATAATCTTTTGTGGAAGATCAAATGTTCTATTTGCCTGTAAAAAATAATTTCACTGTAAAATATAGTCTTTTGGCAAACTGAGGTATCGGAGAGTATTGGAGCGTTGTAACAAGGAAGTTACCGTTCAGAGACTGGTGAGGAAGCTTGCTTAGGATTTTAAGGTGGATCTGAGGTTTTAATCGTCAGCATTGGCGGCACTTCAGGAGGCGGTGGGGGCTTATTTGGTTAGGTTATATGAGAATACAAGTCCGTGCGCAATTCATGCGAAGAGAGTTACAATTATGCCGAAGGATTGTCAGTCAGTGGGAAGCATTTGAGGGGAGAGGGCTTAAGCTTTGATATAGTGTTAGGGTGCTCAATCTCTGTTGACTGATATTTTATGTTGTGATCCTCTTTGCAGTTAAGTTTATTCATTTCTTGTTATGAATGAAGAAAATCTGGATGGCTTTCTTTAGGAAATCTTTAACCGTTTGATGTCTTTTTCTTATCTTGGTTGTTCTGTAATGCTCAATTTCCTTAATCTGTGTTAAATTATTGCTGTCCATTCTCTCTTTCTCACAAAATTTGTTCCCTTTCTTATTCTGGATGAATGAAATTGGCCAAATTTATGCTTTTCATTTGGCTTCCCATATCATTGAAAACTGTGGCTAATTTAATCAGTCAATACATTGACTCTGACTGGGTTAAAAAGATTGAGCAAATGAAACAATGGGGTCAATTCTTTCGATTGTTTAAGAAGGCTATGTCTTCTTTTAGGGTTCGTTTATTTAGGAACAATGAATATATTTGCTGTGGATATTATCTTAAAAATGGGCTCAAGTGTAACATCTTAAAATTTGTGTGAGCATTGTGTTCTGAATGGGAATTCAAAACTTTAAACTTTTTGCCTGATAATTCATGATGGCTTGTAATTTATGAAGAAGGCGGTGGCCAGGCATTAAGTGGTTCAGATTGAAATAGGTATATGCGATAAAGATAGCACTTTAATTAGAGATTAGCAAACATTTTTGTCTTAATTGTTTATATAAGCAAAGTCATCTGAGCCTTTTTATCAACTTAGAGTAGCATTTTCTTTTAATAGAACATGAATCGGACTTTATCTTTGTCAATGATGGTTCTAGAAATTGTAAACAGCTGGACATTTGGTTTCATTTCTGAGTGAAATCAAGGGACGCAGGAGTTCATGTCAAGAATGTATATTTTCTTTCTTTTTTTTTAACGCAGGTCAATAACTAGCTGTTTTTTAGGCGGTAAATGAAGGACCTTGTCCTTTTTCACAGATCTGTTCGCAACTATATTTGGAATTTTAGATTGAGAAGATTGTGAATATATGTCCACGTCTTTGGCATACAACAAAGCTATGATTTTGACGTTAGGCTTTATAGTCACTGAGATTTTTCCCCCTTGTTTGATTGCAGGTTGGGCCTCTTATTTATCAAAGTGGGAAACAGTTTCATTATTTGGTGCAACAGGTAACAAATTTTGTCTAAAACTATGTTTCCTATGAGTTTTTAATGTCTATTGTATTGAATACTATTTGATGTATGTACAATTATACATACAAGGCTACAAGCAAGTATATACCCTGTCAGTTTGCTGAGGAACATGTTTAAACTGAACATAATTTATTGAATGCCTTTCTTTCTTCATGTTTTCATTTCTTTGTTCTTGTTCCTTTATATTTATTGTCATTTTTTGAGATCTAATAAAAGTTGACAATTTTTTTTTGCTTTCCTCACTTTGTTTTGCACACCCAAGTTTGTTGACCATAATTACAACAAGGAGATGTATTATAAATTACAGTAGAATTCTTAGACTGGAATTGCACTCGGGTAGTAGACTAGAGAACCCCAAAATGGAAGTCTCTTCCAAGTTTTAAACATTTCAATACAGAATATACGTAGACAAACGGGGAAGTTATTTCTTTTCTAGCATGGGATGAGATCTACCATTCAAGTAGTAAAACAATAGAGTCAGCCCCAGTGAGATCATTTCTCATCTTTCTTGATGTGGAATAGCCAAAATACATGAAAGCCAATTAACAGGTGAAATGGAGCTCTTCTAGTTAAGAATCACCCAAATCAAAACTAAGAGGAAGTGATAAAAAAAAGAAAAAAAGTAGGCGAACACTAGCATATGCGAACAATTCCGTCAGAGATGACACGGAACAAAATATGTGAAAGTAATCTATTTTAAATAAATTCCTGCAGCTAGGTTCCCTTGGTAATTAGGCTTTCCTTACCAAACCCTTTGAAGGAGCAAGGCTTTGTTAACTTTCCTTATTGAAAGAAATCTAATGCTGTAGGCGTGGAAGGAACTGTGACGGAAGCATGTTAAACAAACATGAAAAGGATACAGGGGGTATGGTGCATCAACTCTGAGCAGTTATTTTGGCTCAAATATTATTCATTGAATCTACTTCCAGCCAAAATTTGACTAGTCCAGTAGTCCAGGCCACTTACATTTGACGTGCCCTCTCCCTTCATGAAACTTGAACTCCAGCAACCATGAGTGCATGCATTACTTGCCAGTGCAGCTCATGTCAATCACCTCCTCCACCAAAACCTCTGGCACCAACACCCTTACACTTATCTGTCAATATAATAAACCTCATATGATTCCAATCTCTCATCAAAATTATTACGCATAAGAATCAATGAAGCCAAGTGCAGCGAGCATGTATCTGGTGCTGCTGGCATGGGCTATAGGAGCGGGCCTCTTCAACCGTCCTGTTGTGGCCCAGGGTTCGTGCCCCACAGTGTTCTACTTGGTGATGTTGCAGTTTACTCCGTGCAGTCTGGCAGTGGCGCCATTTGGCCCCTCACCGCCTAGTAGCGCCTGTTGCAAGGCGATTAGAAGTATGGGCCAGGCTTGCCTATGTTCTCTCCTTAATGGGCCGCCATTGGCTGGTGTGGACCGCAATGCTGCCTTGCAGCTTCCAAGCAAATGCGTTCTCAATTATGAACCTTGCATGTGATCTCTCCGTCCATGATGAACAATGACATCATTTTGAAACTAGCTGATCAAGTTTAATTATTAGGCAATCAAGGAAAATTTTGCGATTGGTTATTGCTTGCTAATTTTAGGTGACCTATCAGCTGAGAAATTCAATGGAACTTTTGGACTATTTTGATAGTTAGGCTTAATAAGTTAATGAAGATTGGGACTCGTACATGTAAAATCTCTGTTCTGATCTTTCGGAGATATTACAAAAAGAATTTTCTGTTGATATTTTGGACTCTGTTTTGAACTTTGAGTTTTATCCAACCCCTTGGAGCCAGTAGGTTGCTGATTATTTATGCAGTAAATGAAAATTCTATAGGAATGAAAAGGGAGAACCTTATGCACTTGGTTTTTGTTCTACACTAATGAGGGGAACCTATCGTAAATATGTGAATATCATACTACATGAAATCTCCTTGCACAATTTGTATGGAAGAACAAACGATTATCACTTATGTTGCGAAATTTAGCTGTTGATTGTTGTCTACCTTTTAATAATAAAAACTACAAAAAACCATCCTTTAATTCAAAGGAAACGAATGTTGAGATGGATAATCAGCAATACAAGAGACGAGTTATGAACAAACGTAGTTATTGTAAGAGAGAGTAACAATGACAAGTGCAAGTGGCAATCTAATCACATGTAATCCACGAAGCTGATAAATAAACTAATTGAAATGTATAATTTGAATTGAAGGTTCAAGATGAAGTTCAACTGTGAAGGGACATGCAGTCAATACTGAAATAAGAAATGGTCGCCAAACAGGTTCCTTTCTCCGAGTAAATTGTATTGTGTTGCAAACAGCGTTTGCAATCTGTTCCATTCATTTGTCTTTTATCTGCTTCAAAACTTAACAGATAACTCTCTTTTTCACGAGGCTTGAACTTTGTTTTTTATCCAGTATTGTTAGATGCCTTGATGCTCAATGATAAGGTTTATGGGATAGGTAAGTATGAAATCAAAGTGTCTACCATTGAATGGCACAACACTCATGTTAAAGTTCAAAATGGTAGTCCTTATCTCAGCCACTACATTACTCTTGAGAACATCCTTGCCTTCAGATTGCAGATAGCTCAATCCAAATTCTAATAAATTCTTGTGTTAAGAGTTCCCATGTATTGCTCCATGTTAACTCAGCTTAGGAAGAAAGCAATTTGGATAGCCAAGCTCATTGAGGAAATTGTAGAATTCCAAATAACCTCACATCATATGGTATTAAGGTGGTACCTCTCGTTCTCTATGTCGGTAATCCCCATTCTCCAAAGGACTTCATGATAAATCCATAGACAATTGTCTTACCAAATTGAAAGCCCTGATGTCTTTTTTCAGCTTCATCTCTGCGCCCTCATCACTAGCTATATCAAGTTATCAAGAAAATCCTTCACTCTTTCTTTAGGAGTCTATGTTCCTCCATAATCTGAAGCATATTTCATAAAATTGTAAAAGGAGAGGTTTAAAAAGGTATGCAAAGGGTGTACATTTTTTTACAGATCTATGAAAGCTGGAAAGAAGAATAATGTATGGTTAAGATGTTTGCATATAACAGAAATATTAATTTACAACCGTACAATCGTAACTTATCACATATTTTATGGTATGCAAAGGACATTTTCCTTTACTGAAATGAGGGGCAGAACAATATCTTTGTCAATGCTGGCTTGCCCAGAAGATCAAGCTCCATGAGTAATTTATGTCATTGAGATAGACGAATTTGGTTGCATTCTGAGTTCAAACCGAACTGGCAGTTAAAATCAGGATCTTGCTCTTCACATTCTCAGAGATCTGTTAATAATTCTAGCGATAGTATTTAGTATTAGCTTTATGGCTGTTTACTGTTGAGACTGTCTCAAGGTGACCTGTATTGTTCTAACAATGAATTTACGAGCTTGACTTTCAGTACTGAAAATCTGAAAGTTACTGGCTCATATTTTGATCCCCTTTCTCGGTTTCAGGTTGGGTTACGTTTGATCAGGGTAGGACACTTACTGCATTATTTGGATAGTTCTCACTTCAGGACCAGGTAGCAATTTGTATTTAGAACTAATGTTTTCTATGTAGTAAATGAAGTTTATGTGTAGTTGTATTAATAGAACTCCAGTTTGCATGCACTCCTATGTTTTTTTTCTCCTACAATTTGTTTCATCACTTCTTGAATTATTATTTCTGGCATGTTGTATTTGCTTTTGCTTATTTGCTTGCCATACCCAAGTTTGTTAAGTTATAGGGTTCTTGGCCTTGTATTTCATAAATCCTAGAAGGACAAAAACCATCAGTTTATTTTTTTTGATTGGTAATCAAACTTGCCCGCAGATATTAAATGCAATATTTACCTTCATGAATCGTGAACAACCACCGCCACCATAAGTTCATGAAATTCTTGCCACTCGATCTCATGTCAATCACCACCTCCACCAAAAACCTCTAAAAATGACACCCTCATGCTCACACCTCACCATATCTCTATATAACTAACCTCGTGCACTTTTCCATTGTTTATAGAATCATCAATGAAGTCAGGTTCAGCGAGCATATGCCTGTTGATCCTAACATGGGCCTTAATATTGGGCCTATTGGGCCATCCTGCAACGGCCCAGTCTCCGTGCTCAACCTCGTTCTTCTCTGTGCTTGTGCAGTTGATGCCATGCAGGCCAGCAGTGGCCCAGTTTAGCACTGTGCCGCCTAGTGAAGTCTGTTGCAATGCAGTGAGGAGTCTGGGTCAGGATTGCCTGTGTGCTCTCTTAAATGGGCCTCCGATAACGGGAGTTGACCGTGATTCAGCCCTGCAGCTTCCCAACAAGTGCAATGTCAATTCCGTGCAATGTAAATCTTTCCCTTCCTCTCTCTCTCTCTCTCTCTATCTATGAAGTCATCCTGTGAAATCCAGACGATGTTTTTTCTCACATTTGGTTGACATTGTCATGTGGCAGTAAGTAACAGATTGCTGTACAGTCGCATGTTGCCCTCAATTGACAGTAAATTGAGGGCAAAAGAGTTAACATCGTCTGAGATTCGGGAGGTGCGTGCATTTATACAGTAGTTCAGGAGGCATTAAGTAGTTAGGCCATCTAGTACATCGATATATCTAACCCACCCTTACAACTATTGTGACAGTAGCAGAATCATTCTAAAACTCGCGGGTTCATATCGTCAGATGTTAATTAAAATTAAGATAACATTGGTTAAACTGAGTATTGAGGCTAGAAGCTCATCACAAAAGGCTCTTTGGCTTTGATGTTTTGCAGGCAGCAGCCCTTGATCAGAGGAGAAGCAAGCTCTTGTGACACGAGATAATGAAGTGATCATTGTAAACTAATGTACTGAAATGTAATAACTTGGTATCAATGATGCCTCTCCTTAAGGAAATACCTCAATTTGAACAAAAGTTGTGTCTGGATGGATGGAGGTTATATTGTTGGTACTGTAACTTGGGATCTCGCAATAGCCATCTCTACATTTTTATCGTTTGGTTTGATCTCTGAATGGATTATATTTTAATGTCTTCTGGTACATTTGTATGTTTTTATTCTTTCTTATCTGGATGGATTGGTGTTAGCAAATCATTGTGCAGGAGAAAATTCACGTTTTCATCCTCCTATTAGTGGGATGCTAGTTTTTCATGTTAACTTTATGTTTTTCTTTTAAAACTTTCCACTAAAGAGTCTTATCGGACCCATTCCTATAGGAGTGAGGTGATTTGCACTACATATATAACAGCTGTAATTTTCAAGCTAACCCTCTGACTTCATATAAACGGTATAGATTAATCTATTCCATTCATCGTTCTGAAAGAAGGGAAAATTTGCAAAATAGTCCGTTTTTACTAATTATTTAGCAAAATAGACCGTTTTGCTAAATAATTAGCAAAATAAACATTTTTTTTTGAAAAAAAGAGGTCGATTTTGAAAAACAAGACTCAGAAAACATACGGGACTACTAGTCCCTTATGTTTAGAACCAACTTAATCACGGATTAGTGACTCAGAAAACATACGGGACTAGTAGTCCCGTATGTTTTCTGAGTTCATCTTAATGTTTTGTAAAATTTTCTGAGTTCACTAATCCGCGATTAAAACATACGGGACTAGTAGTCCCGTATGTTTTCTGAGCTGTTTTGCAAAATATACCTCTTTTTGGTCTGTTGGCAAAAAAGAGGTCTATTTTGCTAATTATTTAGCAAAACGGTCTATTTTGTTAAATAATTAGCAAAAACGAACTATTTTGCAAATTTTCCCTCTGAAAGAATCCTCGCCATTTTGTACTAATTGTCTAGCTTAAATGAGATTTCTTTGCGACCAATTAATTCATCACACTTAAAAAGCTAAAATTTTGAGGAGTTGGAATTTATTTTGCAATCCTCAATTCTTTATCCGACTTCTTACCTAATTCATTCCTAACAACCTAATCTATCACAAAATTATTCATTTCTTATTTAAAAAAAAAAAAAACAAATCCCCGGCCCCGAACATTTTAATAACATCTGTCCCACTAATAGCCGTCCTAATCCTAATTACAAGCTTAATCTAAAAGGCCACTCGAAAGAAAAATAAACCTGAAAAGTCCGTCACCCAAAACGTCAACCGCTATTGTCACATCTTGAGTCACCTTTCCCGGTCCCTTTACTATTGGAGCTCCGATCTGGTGGCATTATCCTTCGAACATCGAGATTCCCTCCGATGCCTGCGCACCCTTATCTTTTTTTTTAACATCCAAATCTAAACACACCCAAGTCCACGGCCCCCGACTACCCGCCCGCTGAAAGGATTGTGGGCCCCATTTATCACTCTCGCAGCGATTCCCGTGTGGCCCACACACCCTCCTCGCCCACGGTTTTCGTTTTCCGCCCTCGTACGAAATCTCCCGTTATAAAATTGAAGGGCAGCGTTTTAAGTTTAACCTCAAAATTCCCCGGAATTTTTTATTTTATTTTATCGTGTTTTTGGCTCCCAGTGCAAATGCCGGTGCCTTGATTAGATTGCGGCATCGATCGAATATCGTGGGATTTTTCTGCCGGTTTCATGCCGAATGCACGTCGATTTGGATCCAGGTACACTATCTTCGTTTTGTTCTGGTCTCAATCTCTGTGTTTGTTTGATGTTGCTGCTGTTAATTTGTTGATGCTCGTCCCTCCTCGTGAAAGTTCTGATTTTTGTGTTATTTTCGCTTTATTTGTTTGGGCAAAAAAAAATTTCTTTTTCTTTTGGGAATTAGGGTTTTCTTCTGCTGCGGAATGTAGTAGAAATTTTATTTTTTGCTACTTTAATTAATTTGTGGAATTTGTAGACAAAGTTTTAATCAATTTTTAATCATTTATTGTGTTTATTATTATTATTTTGTATGATGGCTAGAGAGTTAGTTTAATTGGGTAGCAATAATTTATGTAGATTCTTATATAATCTGGACTTATTGGATTGCTAATTAAATGGAATTCAAGTTCAAAGGGTTGATAAACCAAAGAGGGCATCTTTTATGGAGTGGCAATAATGAAAAATTGAAAAGAATAAGTTAAGGTTAACTCTGAGAGCTTCAGATGATGTGGGTAATAATGTAGAAGGTAACCCGCAGGGTTGGCGCCCTGCTCCGCTTTTGTTGGGGGACAGCGGGCTAGTCCTGTGTTCGAATCCCCCAGCAGGTAAAGAACCCTCGGGCCAGTGCCAGCCATGACACGAACAGGGATTGGTCCCATCCATAATAAGGTGTGGGGATACCTCGTGGGAAACCAAAAAAAAAAAGTAAGGAGGAAAAAAGGACCTGAGCTTGCAGACACGATGAAATTAGAGAGTAGAGACCTAGCTTAAGGAATAAAATGTCCTAGTAATGAAAGAAGAAAACAGAGAAAGATGGTACTATGTATAAGTTTAACGACAATTGCACATGAGAACTTAAGGGCAAACCTTCAACTGATGGCACCTATTATAGATGTTTTTGATATAATAGGGCTGCGAAGTATTTAAAAAAAACCTTTCTTAATAGGAGATTTGATTTTGTGGTATCTACTGATATTCGCATTGATCTATGGAGGGCATTAGAGATAAGGAATTAACTAAGAAGTGAGGGCATCTATAGTAACTTAGAGATTTGATCCATTGAGGATTATATGAGAGAGAACCAGTTGAGTTGGCTGGGACACATGCAAATAGAAATCATCAGTGGCCTGTTAGGGGTGCTAGAATCATAGTTGATGAAGTGCCTGGAGCTAAATGTAATGGATTAAGGTAGTAATAAGCCAAATATGTATTATGTATAGCTTATAGCTGAAAAATTGGCTCAAAAAAAGTAAAGATTGTAAGAAGAATTACTATACTTGCTAACTTAATGGAAGAGATGGATCATAAGATAGGCGAATGGAGAAAAAGATTCATTTAACCAGTCATCAAGTTTTGATATAAAGATTTTGTTGTTTGTTGTTGTTGAATCTGTCGCCGGAGCAAGTTTAGACCCATAGTTGATAACATATGCATGTTCCTCATTATTTGAGGGACTGTCAATATCCTTCAGGATGTTTGACATTCTGAATCCTTCTTTTGCATCTATCCTTTATTCTCTATCAGTTAATATAGTTGTCTCGCAATTCATGGGCTTATTATTGTTTTACTATTCATGTATGTTGAACTTAGTACATTCAACACATGGGAAAGTACATTTTGTCAGATAAGATTGAAATCCCTTCCTGTTTTGTGTGAGTCTGTAGCCTTTGTGTGACTCTGTAGCCTGTACTATTTGATTCTCATTCAGTTCCTAAAGATATTGAAATACTTTTTGGTGGTGATCAGCATGTAACTTATTTTATTTGCCTTCTTTCATTTGCAGGTTTTGATCGAGTACTTTGAAGAATAAGGATTGTTTTCGTGTAGATTGGATAAAGACTAGCTTGCAGTCTCTAAGTACTTCGGAGATTTTTTTTCCTTTATGCCGAGATGGTGTCAGTAAATTTGGGAGTTATTCATTATGTACTGGATCACATTTATGGGGCATTTCTTCACCGAACCAAATTAAGCACACCTTTTTTCTCAAGGGGATGGGGAGGGAGCAAACTCGATTTGTTGGAGAACATGGTTAAGCAGATTTTTCCGGACGCTGCTATACAGAATTGGCCACCTAGTCAGGTGCAGCCCATATGGAAAACAGTGTGGGAAACCAAAAATGCACAACTAAGAGAGGGCATTTTCAGAACTCCATGTGATGAGATGCTGATCAATGCATTACCTCCTGAGAGTCATACTGCAAGGGTTGCTTTCCTTGCCCCAAAATTTGTACCGCCGCAGAAGATGGCCTGTGTGGTTCACTTGGCAGGTAAGTTATTTTCGTTTGCTCTGATGCTCTAATTGTTATGGGATTTGTTATCACATATGCATAAATTAGTATCACCATGTCAGAGTAGTCAAGAGATAGTAAATGCTCAATTTGTCTTAATTTCCTCTAGATTAAAATCTATTCATTTACTATCCTTTACTTATGACTTATAAGAATCTAGACACTGGATATGGCTCCACAAAACCAAGTGTAAGAATTTGTATACTAACGTAATTTTGGAAGTGCATACAACCTTTTTTTTTCGGACAAATTTTCAAAACCGACCCTTTTGGGTTTTTAATTACAAAAAACGACCGGTTTTGAAAATATTTACAAAAATCGATCTATTTAGCTGAAAACAGGTCGGTTTTTTTAAATTTTTTTGGAAAACTTCACGGGAGTTGAACTCCCGTGAAGTTTTTCTCATAACAAAACTTCACGGGAGTTGAACTCCCGTGAAGTTTGGAAGAAAAAATTTCAAAAACCGACCCAGTTTCAACCAACTGGGTCGGTTTTTATAAATAAAACTGAAATAGGTTGTTTTTTGCAATTAAAAATCCAAAGGGGTCGGTTTTAAAAATTTGTCCTTTTTTTTTCCTTCATGTTTTTACAAAGGGTTGACACCTGTGTCCTGTCAGGACATTTTTTCTTTTAGGTTTTATTCTATGTTTTTGCAAAGCCCTCACCAAAGATTTGAACTTTGAAGTGACCTATGAAGTATAAATAAGATAGGATAAAGAGGAGATACATAAACCATTAATTTCCCTATAGTTTTTTTCTTGAAACTTTTGGACTATTTATGAATCATGTTACATAAGGGTAAATGGCATGCTGGAATTTTGCAGGCACCGGGGACCATTCATTTGAACGAAGACTGCGGCTTGGTGGACCATTATTGAAAGAGAATATAGCAACAATGGTGCTTGAGAGGTGGGAAGTGTTTCCTGTCAACTCTTTTTACAAGCACTAGATACATGGATGCAAAAACTATGGCTTTCCTTTTGGCAATTGTAGGTATTAACCCAAGCTAAATCTGCTGCAGCCCATTCTATGGACAGCGGCGTCCCGTGCTGCAGCGTGGTGCAAAGCTTCAATGTGTCAGCGACTTGCTGTTACTAGGAAGAGCCACCATTGAGGAAGCCCGCAGTCTGTTACACTGGTTAGAGGTTGAGGCTGGTTTTGGAAAGACGGGAATTTGTGGGCTTAGCATGGGTAATGAAAAGTGTTCAAGTTCTGCTTTAATATATGCAAATAAGAAATTGATTAATCTGGAATAGGTTCTGCTCAGATAATCAATCCCCCCAAAACTTACACCTTTATATTAAAAACTAGAAAACTAGCTAAATAGCTCCATAGTTAATTTTTAAGAGTTTTACAGATAGATCCCTTGTACTACTGCCCAGTTTTGGATAGAGGCACTATAGTTTTCTTGTTGCAGATAGACCCCCGGCGTGAAATATTTTGACTCTTTTACCCTCAGAGAAAGAGAAAGTTGTTTTTTATAAGTAAACCTCCTAACATGAAAGAGGCCAATTATAAATTAAAAAAAATCACTCAAGGTTCCATCTGTTCACTCAGGGTCCATCTCCACAATAGAACTGCAGGGGGTCTATCTGCAATCAAGTGTATCCACAATCAGCTCCTTAAAAAACTATCTTTCTAGACTAACGACTTTACTCATACCAAGCTAAATTACATTTCCTCAATTTTGAAATTGGTCTTTAAAGCTTAGTATTTGAAATTTTGATATATTTCCAGGGGGTGTACATGCTGCGATGGTTGGGTCTTTACATCCTACTCCTGTTGCCACGCTGCCATTTCTAGCACCGCACTCTGCTGTTGTAGCTTTCTGCGAAGGCATCTTGCAGCATGCCACTGCTTGGGAAGCTCTTCGAGCAGATGCAGCCGAAAAGGCAGAAATGACACTTGAACAAGTGAGGGAGCGTTTGCGATCGGTACTGTCATTGACTGATGTCACTCGCTTTCCAACTCCTAAAAATCCTCAAGCTGTCATTTTTGTTGCTGCCACGGTTAGTCTGATTTTTCTCAGCTGCCTCTTTCCTGTCATATCTGATTTTAGACCTTCTAGAAAAATATAACTAGAAGGATAACAAGCCTTCAATCTGTTGCTTATTGAGCTCAACATCTCCTGGGTCTAAATTTAGATACTCTCCAAATTGAAAGCGGAACCACAACATCGTATATTTCACATTCAGTCTTTGACCTACTTATGATGCATCTAATCACTAGAAGTGGTTGATGAATGGAGGGGTAATATTTATGGTGAAATCTTTTGCTTGACAATATCTTTAAGACTATCAGCAATCTGAAGTACTTGTTCTGTAATTAACCAATGAACCAGGAAAGAAGACAGGAAGCATTACCTTATTACTAATATGTCTTTTTGGGTTAATGGCAGATACACGTTATATTCTGCACTAGTGTAGCTACTTATACC